CCGTGAATTGGTGGTTTGGATTTGTGAAACCTGGTGTGATTCCTCCTAACCCGGGGGTAAACCGGGCTCGTCCATGATGAAGGTCCTTCACTGAGGCCTCCCACATTTTCCCGCTTGTGAGCTTTGGTAGCTTGCACGCATCTCATTCCGTTCAAAAAGCTTGATTCATGTATCCCTTACTTGGTGGTTTGAGCCCCTGGTTCTTGTCAGGCTTTTTTGGGGAAGGCCTCCGAACCTCAAAGACACCTTCCAAACCGCCAAGCCCCGGGGGTTGATGGGGGGAGGCTGATGTTCGTAGGTGAGCCCGAGCTCCAGCAGCTGCAGTCCTAGATCGCGTCGTCGGCCAAGAGCTCTTGTGCATCGTGCCGTGACCTCCAAGGCGCGGCTTTCGGCTGGGGGGCGCGGCTTTGGGCGGCGCCTGTCGCTTTGGGCGCGGGGAGGGCGCGGCTGTTTTTTTTGTTCTGTTTTTGAGCGGGAAGAATTTCGGGAGCCCATGAACACAAAGGAAGGGCCCAGTGCACGTCTTTTTTCTTCAACGGGAAGGTTCTAGAGGTGCTGTGCAGCTGAGTTTGTTACCTGGAGCCCATGTTTGATTTGGTGTGGTCCGATTCCTTTGGGGGCCCGTGTCCCTGCAGGCCGCAGACACGCCTGTGGCGAGGCGAAGTGTGACACCTTCCATAGGAAAGGCCGCCGGCTGTAGGGTTCATGTGCAGACTTGGCCGAAGAGGTGAAGACGATGTGGCAGATACGAAGCGAAAGAGCCACAGACCAAGAAGAGAAAAGAAGGATATCATCCGACGTACCCGTTCCCCACCAGCGCATACTCCGGTGCTGCCGGGTTGGACAGCTGCAGAAGCTGTTTCAACAGGCCCTATGCCGTAGATGTTTGCAGATCCACTGTGCGAGGATGAGTTTTCGAAGGTCTGCCTCAAGCCCGAGCCGCGCCAGCGGCAACCACCTCCGGGGCGAAATCGACTTCGTGCCACTCAGGAATTATGGTGCCCGTGCGGTTTAGCCAACCTTCCACGCCTAACTTTCCCCACGCGTTTTTCGATAGGCCCAGCCTTGCCCGACCAACTGTGGGTACTAGCTGCTTGACAGCCTGAGGCCGCCGCAGTCCTGCCATGCGTTTCTTGCCACTCTTCAGGCCGCACAGCCCTCAGCTGCCATCCCGGGGGCCGAATGTGGGCGCTTCAACTGGCGTGCGGCAAAGGTGACCCCGCGGCGCGTGGGGAATTGGGCGCGTTTAGTCGGAACAACACGGCAACCAGGGCAGGGCCTTCGCAAATCAGTTGCTTGAAGTCATTTCTAGGCCTCCCAAGCCTGCTGCACATCTTGAGCACCGGTGCTTGGCAGTAGGCTACCTCTGGGCTGCCTTGCCCGTCCAGTGCGCTGTTTTGCTTGGACTGCCCAGGGCGACCAAAGCCCGGCTCCGCTAGGCCGCTAGGCACGTGAGCGCTGCGCATAAATTCGGGCACGGTGCGCTGCAAGTCCTGTGCCTTGCTCCGCGCAATGAGTTTTTGCATTAGCCGTGCACATCCCACTGGTTTTTGCGGTCCGATCTGTAGCACAGACAGCCCTCTGCCTTCCATACCTCTCGCCGGGCCGCCCTTGAAGCGGCCTGGCCGCTTGAACGGGAAGACACGAGCGGATTGTGCCTGCCTGGTGCGCCGGCCAGGGCGAAACAAGTAGCGTACGACTGGCACAGCGCAGATACTGCGTGAGCCAAGCCAAATGTAAAACCTACAGTTAACTACACAAAACGAGCTTTCAGGAAGCTTGGTTGTTTCATGAGATGTGCTTGCTTGAAGGTTTGGCGAATGCGCCCCTCAAGCAGGTCTAAGCCAGTAATCAATTCATGCGTCAGGCTGAGCATTTCGCAGGTGCCCATCAAGGGTTTTGTGCAATTCTCACTTATTGCCAAATGGAAGGTGAGCAAGCGCCCTTTTGGGACCAAACCGGTGCAAGGGCGCAGCAAGCCCCTTAACTTCAAACGCGGCTTCAACCTGGCATGAAGTGAAGCGTCGTGAGCCTTTTGCGTCAGCTAGATGATGTTTTTTCACCTATTTCTCCCTAGAAGGGGTGTTCTCGGAACACTTCAACTAAGTAATCTGTAGCCCTATCATAACTCCGAATAAATGTGCCTGTGCTCTGAGAGGGCTTTGGGGTCACAGATTCCATGGAATAGAGTGAATGAGTTGCCTCGCCGAGGTGTTCTCTGAACTCCCCGGTTTAGCCAAGGAAAAAGCGCATTGCAAAGCTTCCAGAATGCGCCAAAAGTTTGAAAATGCCGAGTTCTGATCCTTGAACTTCCCGCTGGTCTCGGTTTTGCAACTCAATGTTCAAATTAGTAACAGTTCTTAGCAATGCTACGAGAAAGCCATGCCTTCATTCTTGCTTCTTACTTAGAGCCCAGAACAAGGCCCCTGCAACAGTTGACCAGGTCAAGGCACTCACGTGAGCAACTATCCTTCGCGAAACAACTAAGTTACTCAAGAATACCTTACAAGTTTGTTACATGTCGGGAAGTCCTCCAGATGTTTCTGCAAGTTGTCCCGAAGGCCAGCGCATGGACTGCCTGCGGCTTTGGAGGCAATTTGCGTCAGGGGCTCCAGGTGCGAGAGCTCCTGGGCCTGCTGATTTTCTTCCCATAGCCCTGCCTTTCTTGCGACGTTGTCCGCGGGCCCTGCGCTGGGTGTGAGATTTCTGCGTCACACGTTGGCCGCTTGAAAACTCGGTTCGTCACTTGAAGCATGTAGGTTGAAGCTGGCCCCGACGCAGTCACTGCCATGTCTGAAAAAGTTATCCTTGCAGCCCTTGCTGCGTGGCCTGTGACGTTGCTGGGCCCAGAGGCTGCAGCCAATTTGAGCTGCAGCCGTCGCCTTGCTTGGTGCTTCGTTCCGGAGCGCAGGGTTGCGCCTTGCACTTCAGCCATTCTCAACACTCCAAGGACCCCGTAGGTTTCAAGAAGCGTTTCCGGAGAGGGGGAGCCAGTGTTTTCACCGGGCTTCGGTGTTCAGCGCGGCCATGACTCAGCCATCCGCCTGGAAAAGGCACCGGCGAGTGCCCTCCCACCATGGCCCGCATGGAACCAGAGGCAGGCGTGGCGACCTATTAAAAACAACTGCGACCCTCCTCCCGCGCTCCTTCCTAAGCCGCGATGTGTGCGATCGGGGCATCAGGCTCACGCCTTACAAGAAGTTGATATCGCAGAAGATGTTTTAGTGAATCGGTGCCCTCTCACAACTTAAAATGTGCATAAATCCCCCGTTAGCTGATGTCCACTGAAGGGTCCCTAGCTCAGATTCCCACCACCGAAAGGGCGAGAAGTTGTGGCAGCTGAGCGCCAAAGTTTGACAGTTGAGCTGCGCCACAACAGCAGTACCAGGATCAGCGGCATTTGCCGGAAGGTTCATGGCAAGTCTACGTTAAGACAACTGTCCTTTTCATGTGGGGCAAGATGCCTTTTAGGACCCAAAGCAATAAGGCACCTGCGTTTGGCGTGGAATGACGTCAGCTATAACTTCGGTTTGTGTTTCAAGCCAAGTCCGTGGTAAGACGACTGGCGCTACAGATTGGCATTGCTCAGGCCGAGCAAGTGATATTTAGGGTTCAAAACCCCGAAGAACGGTTCCCAAGTCAGGAAACTTGCCGCTGTTGTGTGCCCAAAGAGTTTCAGGAATTGAGAACTGCAAGTCCAAGATTGCAGTGTCCAGCCCGAGCACTCAATATTTCTGGCACACTTTTCTGCACTTTGTATTTGACATCATGGGCTCCTCCTGCATTGATTGTGTTTCTGGCCTGAGCAAGCCACAAGCTCGGAAGAGCAGCGGGTCTGTCAGTAGCAACATGAAGGCGCTAAGAACAGGCACGTAAGAATTTGAGAAGACCAAACCAGACCACACCCAGATCTTCGTCCAAAGCCCACCTTTTTCAGAGCGCTCCGCACAAGGCTCGGCTCATGCCGCGTCTGAAGCTGGGCCTGACCCTGTGGACAGCATGTTTCTGGGTTTTTTCTCCCCCCAGCCATTGAGAATAGTCCCATAATAAGCCATCGGTTGAAACACGGAGCTCGCCGTGCAGTCCGCCCAGAAAACTGCGTATGGAAATCTGCAGCTGAGCCCCAGGACACTGCAAAATGGCACGGGCTGCTTTGAGTGCACCAGTAATGTCTTGCCTCCAGTGGCCGAAGCCGAGCGGGCGACGGGCGTGGCAGTGCGTGGGTAGACTGGCTGAATTAGCAAGCCTTGAACCTCTTGGTCGGCAGGTTGCTTCACCTTAGCCAAGGCACAAAAAGTTTAGTCACTGTTGGGCAGCAAACTCACTAGGTAATCTCAGGCGACGCCCAAAGAGCACTTGCCCGTGCATAGCCATTGGTGAGCCAAGCGGGCGCAAGGGTGCTGGCCACTCATGGCAGGCTGCCACCCTGGAGTGGCCAAGTTTGGCCAATGCATCGGCTTCTCATTGTCGCCATGGGCAAAGCTGCAAGTCGACCAGTTCTTCTGGCACCCTTCGTGCGAAGGGACGGCCTCAAAGTGGCATCCCATCCCGTGGCATCCCATCTTATGACATCCTGGCACCTTTTTTGAATCATCCACCCGCTCGCTGTCCTTTTGGCGCAGTCCCCGTGCCCCGTCAGCGCGCCGACGCAAGCTTTGGTTTGTGGCAAAGAGTTGCGCGGCAGGAACGCCTGTGACCTTCTGATGGCAATGGCAAGCTCAGAGCTCTGCGTGACTCGGGGGCTTGGCGCGGCCGAAGAATACGCCTGGCGCCACTGAGCTGTGGATTTGGCTGAAAATCGCACAGGCGATCTTGAAACCCAGTCATCTTACTGACTTACGTGCCACCCAGCTTTTCGGTTGAACGGACAAAGTTACCTCCTGTCTCGAAAAAATGCCACCGTGCTTGCCTGTTTTCAGTGCTCCCTGCCATGCCTCGGCCTGAGGGGGGCCAGGGCCGCCTGAGCCACCGTAGACTGGCCTGGGAAGACGCCTGCGACCTGAGGCACTGAGAGCTGTGAGCCTTGCCTTGGCGAAGTTCAAGACTCGTTCAGTGGCCAAATCGCCCAAAGTTGCTTGACTTCCGCGTGCGAGGCACGCGCGTGTGTGCGACTGTTCCATGCATCATGCCATTGGCCGGGAGCAAAAGGCTTACGGCGAAACAGATGCCACGTTTGTCAGGGCTGTGCTTTTCATGTGGGGCAAGATGCCTTTTAGGACCCAAAGCAATAAGGCACCTGCGTTTGGCGTGGAATGACGTCAGCTATAACTTCGGTTTGTGTTTCAAGCCAAGTCCGTGGTAAGACGACTGGCGCTACAGATTGGCATTGCTCAGGCCGAGCAAGTGATATTTAGGGTTCAAAACCCCGAAGAACGGTTCCCAAGTCAGGAAACTTGCCGCTGTTGTGTGCCCAAAGAGTTTCAGGAATTGAGAACTGCAAGTCCAAGATTGCAGTGTCCAGCCCGAGCACTCAATATTTCTGGCACACTTTTCTGCACTTTGTATTTGACATCATGGGCTCCTCCTGCATTGATTGTGTTTCTGGCCTGAGCAAGCCACAAGCTCGGAAGAGCAGCGGGTCTGTCAGTAGCAACATGAAGGCGCTAAGGACAGGCCCGTTGGTGTGCCAGGGACCTGGCAGTAACTCAGTGGAAGTGACCAGCAGGTTGAAATGTTGAAGGGAGAATCCAGAACCCCCTGGATGGGTACATCTCATGGCCGCAAGATTCCATGCCGCGCCTGTCAGAGTTCCATACACTGATGGCCGCGCGAGGGAACGGATGAGGACCTGCCAAAAGTCGCCAGGCAACCGGCTGCCGGGTGCAGAGACATAAATTGAAAGTTATGTTCATGGGCCCCAATGGAACGACATCACATCAAGCATTCGAACCCAAGACTGTGGGACCGAATGGAACCCACCAAGCCAAGGGGCCCAATGGAATAAAGGAATAAACCATCATGTCCCAGCACTTCCTGAGGTCATCCCGCGCCTTTTGCCCGGACAAACCTGGCCCCAGATCGCGCTACCTCAGGCTCAGGCCTCCTCCGCCTCGACAGAGGCGACTGGGCCGACGCTCATCGCGCTGCACGGGGGCGCGCGCTTCGAGCGGATCCCCAACTTTGCGCTGGCCAAGTTCTTCCCCGGACAGGTGTGCTCCTGCGCCCCGGTGGAGGCGAAACTCGGGAGAGAGGCAGAGGCACCTTTCTGGTTCTGGTTGGCCAGGGCCCCCAGCTAGGTGCCAACTTGTACCGTTTCTTTTTTGGGGGAGGGTTCCCCTACGAAAATAGACTACAGAAAAAGGGTACCATTTATTCTAACCTCTCTACCGGAGGACCTAGGTCAGAGGCACCTTTCTGGTTCTAGTTTCTGTTTGGTAAGATGGGAGTCCGCTGGTTCTCGAAACCAAATCCTGGATCAGCTGGGCTCGATGTGTGAAACGGGACAAATTGGTCGGGATCCCATGGATCCTCACTCGCCATGGCGGACTTCCAATTTGCGGATAAGAAGCAGATGGGTGTTTCCGCCATTGCCCTTTTTCGGGTGCCCTTTGCCTTGTCAAGCCGCAGAACCATGAGCGCGTGATCCGTGCTAAAGGCCACCAGTTGTAGAGAGAAGCGACGTGTCCATGGTGTCGTGTCCGTCAAGAGGGGGGGCAGCCCACGGCCAAGAGAATGAGAACAACTCCGCCACTGTTGGTGCAAAAGGCACATTAATTATATTGAGGTTTGGATGCTTTTGGGGTCTTTTGGGCTTTCCAGCCGAAGTTTCGAAATAGGAAGGCGCACACATGTTCCCACATCAAGCGCATCAAGCAGGATCCATGAATGCAACAACACCGAGCCTAAAGGTAAGATGCTTTGGTGTTTTTAGGATCATTCTTGGAAGAGGACCGCTAGCTTATCCGCCTGGTTGCCAGAGTTGCAGCAAGAATTTGCGGGCAACTACTCATATGAGTCATATGAGAGTCCTTTTGGTAAGTGTGTTTTTTGCTTGCTCGGGAGAGACGGGAAAAGCAGCTGATTTCAGGGAACGCCCACGTCGATTTTGCAGGAGACGTTGCGCCACAGCTTCTGCGACCTTTGTTTGGGCCTTGTAGCGCCTCTTCGCGTGGCCGACGTTGACGAGGAAGGTGAGATGGACTTGATTCCTGGCAAAGGGTGTTGGCTTCGGCAAACCGCGCGCGTTTGCTTGTGTCATTTGCGGACTGTATCCTTCCTACGCATTTAAAGTTGCACACGCCACATCCGCTGCTAGTTTGGGCCAGGAAGTAGCCATTGAAGCAATTAGCGGGGGGAGCATGATTAATAGCTCCCCCCCTTCAAGATCAACAAGGTTTGGAATACCGGATGTCGGAGGGTCCCACTGGCCTGCTCGGATGAGTTTCCTTCCCGACCCTGGCTTTGGCTCACAACACCTCTGGCGATCCCGCCCAACTTCACGGGGAGGGGGAAGAGTGGTCTAGTCTTATCTTCACCAGAAATAGGGGAAATGCATGGCCATTAAACCGCGTTCTCCAATCCAACAATATTCCTGGGCAAATGATACGTACAACAAATCGAACATGAGGAAAAGCACCTGGGGTCATAACCCCCCTTGCGATGTTGCGATGGTTTTGTGTAAATGTTCAGACAGCTAAAAGTCACCAAGGGTAGATTAAGTGGCCCATCCTCATGCAACCGGAGGAGTTCCATCCTGAAAGCCTCATCCTCCTCAACCATCGTGATTGAAGTCTCATTGTGTTTTTTTTCCCGGTTAGGCAGTCTGCACCTGGGAACGGCTTTGCAGATTTGCTGGGTGTTAGAGTGCTTACCGTTTGCCTTAGCATTCGGAACGGTGCCGAGAGTGTTTGCCACGTTGTGCTTTCCTCTTGGCAGCGCCGATGTTGGGCTTGGCTTCGTTTGAGCCACACATACTTGATTTACAATCCCAAGTTTCTGAGGGAGGCCGTGCCCGTTCCGCCCGTTACAGACTTATGACCTCAGCTTCTTGGGGGGAAGGTGCCCAAGCGCCTGGTAGTAAGAGCTTTGCCGTCGCCTTGTTTGAAGCTTTGAAGGCCCCAAGGTTGACATGTCTGTGAAGTCTTCCGAGGTCTCAGGACTAAAGGGCTTCGAACAATTCCTTAAAACTCAGTCCTCGAAGTGGTGTGAATCCACAGGGGGTCCCGTCATGTGTCCACGCTTTGGGTGAGTTTTTGCCTTTTGGGCAAACGGAAGTGCGTGCCTTGTCCGCAAGTAGGGAGCGGAATGCCATTGAGATCCTTTTTGTATTGGCGCCCTTGCAAGGTGGCGCTGGGAGCGGATGAATGGTTTGGAGATTCGCGCCCCTTTGTAATGGATAAATGTGAGCCCCCTTCTCCTTGACCACCAAACCACCGGGCTCCAAACCAAGCTGAAGGAGACTAGGTCCCCCAGTAGTGCCCTTTGACCCTTTTTGGGGGAGGGTTCCCCTACTACAAAGGACTACAGAAAAAGTTGGCACCCTTATTTTAACCTCTCTACTGGAGGACCTCGCCTTTCTCCCCGGCGAAAAGAAAAAGGGCTCCGGACTACCGGGGTGGTTCTGCAGCTGCGGGCAGTTGAAGAAGAGGGTGGCTGCGGATCAGCAGGGCTCGATTTGAAGGGCCCAAGGTCGGGATCCTTCGGTGGCGGATCAGGGCCAAAAATTTGAAGGGCCCAAGGTCGGGAGCCCACGGGAGGAGATCTTCGGTGCCACTCGCCGGTGCGCCGAGGATTTTGATGGGCCACAGCTTCGGCTTCGCCTTGGCCCAAGCGGTGGCCCAGCGCCTCGCCGCCGCCGGCGCGGCCCTGCGCGGCCTGGTGGCCTTGGACTGCCGCTGCCTGCAGCGGACTGCGCGCCTTGGAGCGAACATGTGGCGCACTCGCCTATTTAATTAAAAAAAAGAAAAAAACAGACTTGACCGATTTTCAGGAATAAAAACGCAGTGTTATACCAAGCTGGGAAAAACGGGTTTGAGTCATTATGTCCATTTGCCAGGGGGCCATTTTGGGTACCTATGTTTGAGCCATAGCCACATAGCGAGCACCGCAGACAAAAAGACTTCAGGTAAAACAAGAGAAATCCAAAGCCAGAGCAAAACGAGCGGGGGGGGGGGGGGGCAAAATGACGATCCCATATGAAGCCCTTCCTTTGGGCAAGGAACACAGGTCCACCCTTTTGGGTGGCTGTCCCGTATTCCTTCTGCTAAAAAATGATGCTTGGGAGGGATTGCCTTTGAACTGCAAGAACTGAAAGAAACGGAGCTGGGGCCTCTTTGTCATTTTTGCACAAATGCTCAGCAGGCTTTGCCCGATGTTCCTTTTTGGCTGGATATCGGAGGCCTTTTGACTCCTTGGCGCTTTTGAGCCGCCTTCTTCTTCCAGATCCAAGCGCGAATCGTCCGGCCTCTTTGCTTTTGAAAAATAATTTGCCCTTGAGAGCTTCTGCAACAGGGTTTCAACTCGACTTTCAACCAAGAGGGTGGCCAAAATGTCGGTGTTGTCCTGGTTTCCGGCGACCATCACGAATATATGCGAAGTGTGGGGAAGGGTTGCGAACCGGGCCTTTCAGCCATGCGCTGAGAGCAAGAGAAGGCAAAGCCTTAAAGCTGAAGCAGCCAAACCGCTGCAACCTGATTGTGGGGAATCTGAGTTACCTTACAGGAGCCGCAACATGGACTGCACAGATTTACACGGCAGGCATCTGAAATCTCACAGTTCAACCTTGCAACAACAGCCAGCTAGTATCGTTTCTGTGTTCAACTGGGGTGATTTGGCGCAGCACCCTGCCACGCAAACATCACACTTCTCAAATAGTTCAATTCAGACACTTCGTATTGTGCAATCATATCATATGTCTGAACAGCAACTCTGGCGGAAACTTTCATCCAGTCTTAACACGTTGTCCACAGCAAACTATGGGAGGGGTGAAAAACATGTTGTGAACCACTTCTGGTCCACTTCCCTCCCAAGGCTGCAAGAAAAAAAGCAGCAACTATGGCGGAAACGTTCAACCACAACATGTGAAGGGAACCACTTCACCTTCACTGCAAGGCTGAGCTATGGGCGAAACCTTCAACCATGGGTGCAAAAAAGCATGTTGTGAGCCACTTGTCCACTTCCCTCAGGCTGGAGATCGACGTGGTCCCTCGGCGCCTTCGCGTCGACGTGGCCTCGGCCTTCCACTCCGCGGCCTTGGCCTTTCGCAGCGCCGCGACGGAGCTGCGCGTGGCCGCGGCGCGGGTGGGGCGCGGGGGTCTGACGGGGCGGCACCTGGCGCGCCCGGAGGTGCTGGCGCCCAATGCCGCGGCCGGCGCGGGGCAGCAGAGTAGCCTGGAAGTGGCCGACTCGGACCGAGTGGGCTGGGAAAATGGGGGAAAATTGGGAAAAGTTGGGGGAGGGAGTTTGGGGAGGCTAGGGTTCAAGTCAAAGTGAACCCGCTTAGTGGTATATAGGTCAAAAGGAAACAAGCCCAACTCCTCACTTTGATACCCTCAAGCAACAGCTCAATACTTGGCATAGTTTTTGTTGACCCCACGCTTCAATTCTAGCCATTTAGACCCTTCTCTTAACCCCTCAAATTTGGAGGACCACTGGGATTTGCCCATGTCCCACGTTTGGGACATCGCCGCCGTCGTGCAGAAGCTTACGCGCTGCACCAAGCGGCCGCGAAGATCCTTCAAAGCGTGGAAGAGCCAGAGGTCTTGTGACAGCTCTAAGGATATCGGTTCCTGGGATATCGGTTTTGGTTGGTTGGTTGGTTGGTTGGTTGGTTGGTTGGTTGGTTGGTTGGTTGGACCATCTCAAGCTCAGGGGCGCGCTCTGGCGCAGGCAGACGCGAAAGGTATTCCGCCGGCCCCAGAGAGCGGTTTGGTTTGACGGCCGTTTGGACGCGGGTCGGGTCCATGAGACATCTCGGACCTGCTTTCAGGGCATGGCATGCATGGATGCGGTGCCACACTTGGGCAGTGCTATGACTCGTGACACGCAACTTGAAACTTGCTTGTGCGAAGCAAATGGAAGTCAAGGATTCAAAATGGGCACGAATAAACAGGACCCAGCTTGCGCAAAAGGACGGTCATGAGTGTAGCATCCTGGAACCAACTTAGGGGCACTCACTGGCAAAGGCTGGGCCACCCGCGGCTGAGCCACAATCTTTATGTCGGATAATTAGTGCCTGTGTCCGAGCAATGTGGTAGCTCAAGAACTCCCTCGCCCCGTAGCATCTCTAGAGTTCCTGTAGTTGTTCGATGGCTGCCTGGAAATTTGGACACCTCATTCCTCATAGCATGAGTTGCATGACACCCAGGTGCGCCCCGGAGTAAAATGGCAAGCTCGTGGCACGCACTCTCAGCGAGTTTGCGTACATAAGGCTTTTCCAGAAACCACGACCCTGGGAGTTCCGTCGAAAAATGCGAAGAAATTGCCGGGAGAGAGCGGAAGCACGTACTCCCCAAACCTTGGACATGCTTCTTTGCGGTTGGATATGCAGCCCTTAGCAGACAAGACATCTCCTCCCGCCAAGCCATCGACAGCAAAAGCTGGTGCAATTTCCGTCCGGGGTTTGGCCGCTTGCAGCGAACGCTGCCTGTAATCGATGACAATTTTTACAAAACAAAGGCTCATAATAGGGCGCCCCCACCGACATGTCGCAAGATGACGTCCCCGTAGCACTAAGCGCCGCAGCTTCCGGGGCTTGCTCGCATGCAGCGCCTCACTTCCTGGGCAGTGATTTGCTCCGAGAGCGCTCCCCATGACAAGGAACTTGCAAATTGGATGTGTGGAGCAAGACCGGCCTGGCACGCCTCAATGTTGAGAGCGCAACCACTTGGAAACCAGGACCCTTTGCGTTTGCGAGGTACTTGGACAATGCAGAGTCCGCAGGCCGCACGCAGATCTGCAGAGTCAGTGCTTTAGATACTAATCAACTCGTCTTCTCTTGCTTGGGAGAGTTGAATAGCTGCAAAGAGCTTTGAATAGCTACAAAGTTATTGAGCTGGCTCTTGGGAACCACGGCGAGATGGAAGCACTCCGCGCCGTTTCTTGACTTGCGCCTTGGGGCTGGAACGAATGCTCGCGTCCCCTCCTTCAAGCTTGACCCGCTCTTAAAAGATACAGTCTGCCCATTTGAAACATGGCTTTTTCCACGAAAATGAAGCAATGTTCAGGTGTATAATGTGAGGATCCCTGTTGACACTGGCAACCGCCAGTTTAACACTGTGACCGACCCCGGCCTATGTCCTGCAAATGCAGCAACAGAGGAGGGCAGGATGTAAGTAAGACACCAATTCGGACTTCAACGCTTCCGAAATGTTGTGTTGCCATGTGCTCTGCTTCGCTTCACCAAAGCCCTGCGGGGCTGGCTCACAGTCACAAAAGTTGAGCGCAGCTTCAGCACTGGGACCCGAACAGGGCGATTCCATGTCCACGCCCTCGAAGGCAGCATTTTGCTCACTCCACTCGCTGGTGGAGTCTGCAATCCAAGGATTGCGAATTTGCCATTGAACGGATCTTGATGTAGTGAAGTGCCCGCACTTCCAACAGATTGTTTTATTGAAAATATGATTACCGGTTCGCGTCGAATTTCCACCAATTCAGAATGATACGCCGATTCATACCGATTCGATTTCTATGATCTCATCGTTTCGAGCCGGCTTCTCACGAAATAAATCGTTTAACATACCATTTTAATATATTTAATTTTTATTATTATCTTAAAATAATTTATCAAAACAATTTAAAAACTAAATTTAAAAGAACAAAAAACATATTGAGTACACAAACAAAAAAAAACATAACAAATATATATATATATATATATTATAAATATTTAAATAGAATATATAAATGAATTTTCTGAATTATATATGTTGACAATTATATATATTCTCCTATAATTCGGTATGGCCTCGAGGTCGTATTTCCCGTGTATAGGCAAGCCGTTGTGGTGGTATTCCGGTCGAATTGTAGTGTTTGCGGCGAGCGGGTACGCTTGTTTCGGTTTTTTCTCCGTGGTATAAGCTCCCGCCTTTTCACATGGCCCGGAACGCTTAGAAATTTTGCCGACTTTTCGGGGATTTTTTAACAATTTTGCTTAGAATTTCCACGGAATAAATAATAATTTAATACTAGTTATATTTAATTATGTCGAATTATATTTATAAAAAATGATGGATGATTCCGATTTATTAAATATATATTGAATATATCTTTATAAATTTCCCAAAACACCGTGTTCCAAAGCAAAACATGTACTTTAAGCACCTCGCCTGAATAAGGTGAAAATAGATTTATGGGTTATTAATTATTAATTCCAAAAGATCCATTTATATACCCAGGTAATATAAGCATACACGATAGCACAATCGACTAAAAAACACCCTGGGTGCAAGCAAAGTCGAACTGTGTTTGTAAAAAACGTCTTAATATATTCGTTCCGCAATAGACCATGCCCGCTATGCACTCGAATCTCTGGAGCCAGTTTCGTCTCGTCATTAACCTGAATTTTATCAATTTTACGACAAACCGCTCCGCTACCCTGGAAGATTATTTCTTATTCCTCCGTAAGCCTTTAAGCCAAAACAGGCCTACACAACGCGTCCGAAAGCCGGGCTGAGGCAGCGACCAGGAGGTGTTCGGGCTTCATATCCCGATATCAACCACCTCTGTCACTAAATTATTTAGATTTAAGTCGATCCACCTATATAATCTAAGATATGATATTTCGATTCTTGCTCTTGAATATTGCACGCACCTGATTAAGGGCAACCTCCAGCTTCCGTCAGAATTAAACATCCTCCAGCATCCTCTAGCATCCTCTAGCATCCTCCAGCATCCTCCGATATCCATCAGAGGTAAGCCTGCACAATATTAACTAGATTTCATAAATTCATAGACATTAACCTGCATAACATTAATTTCCCCCAATTGTTGGTTTCGATTAACAACGAATACCAAAAATGGAGAAAAATTATAAGAAAGATTTCTATTATATGTCAAGAAAAACACAATCTCACGAAGCTTTATACATTCTTCCCAAAGCATCGCATAAGCCGAACTCTCACGGGGCCAAGGTTTAGGCCGTAATGGGTGTGCTAAAAACAGAGCAAATCTTGTAGAGTCCGTGCCGGCAAGACATTTTTTGCAACTCAGACACCAATATATTTTATTATATTATTTTAAAAAAAATAAAAAATGTTTTTTTCGCATACGAAAAAAATACCGTTCTCCAAACACAGATTGCGAGATGCAGAGGGCCGGGCTAGCCGCGATAAGCTCATACCAAAGAATCAGTGAAAGGCGGTCGCCTAAACAAGGTGACAACAAATCCGCGGGTTATTAATCTCAAAAAATCATTTATTTATATAATAATCGGCCACAATTCACAATTTCTCGCATCGCCAAACTCTCGGAAAATATTTCAACCAAAATAAGACATATATCCCAATTCTTTATTTGAAAAACACGACGGCTTCGTTCAAATCCCGGGCCATTTTTGCGAAATATTCCGGATATTTCGTTAATAATATTTTTCGAAATATTTGGAATATATTTACAAAATATGGTAAGCGATTACGATTTTTTTTTTCGACATATCTATAATTCGATTAATTTATAAAATATTTATATTATCTATATATTATATAAATATTTTGTTTAAAATTATAAAGTATTTCTTTTTTCTTTTTTAATTCTAATTATAATATTTATTCAAATTTATAATCACTCATATAATATATTAATTCCATCAAAAAATAAAAAAACAAAAACATCAACAAAATTATAAAACATACAATCATAATGTAATTAATAATAAATATACAAAAAAAAAAACACACCCAACACACAATTTTCGAGAAATTTCAACTCAATCAAATCCCCAAATTTCCCCTAATATTTTTTTTAGAGAGCCATCAAATTCTAATTCGAAATACCTAAGAAGCACATCATCGGAAATAACCCACAATTCAAAAATATTTATCCGGACTATATCAGAACAATTCTAAGCAAAATTATTAAAATTCCCACGATTTTTTTTTTCAAATAAATTATCAAAAAATTAAAATTAAAATAACAAGAATATATATACCCATCGTATAAAAAAAAATAGAAAATAAAAAATATTATCTCGAAATCATACCGGTTTATAAAAACATATTATTTAAAACAAATCAATATATATTATAATTAATATTAACCAAATCAAAATATAATATATTAGATAAACAAAATAGTATATACAAAAACCAATTAAATAAATACATTCTATCCTAAAAAACACATACACAATTATTTAACATCAAATCAAATTTCAAAATACAAAATACAAATTAAATTTAAATCACAAACAATTAAAAATACACAAAACTTAAATATAAATTCTCTATACTTTAAAAACCACATATAAAATATATTCCATAAGCAATTTATATATACATATAAAAAATATATCAATCTTTCAATCAAATTAATTTATTCTTCCCATCCCCCCCTTTCCCAAAAACCAATTTGAGAAATTAGCAATACGAGCACTCAAACACCTAATCAAAATTATCTTTCAACTCAAATTCTCCGTCCCAACAAATAAATCAAACTAACAATCGCTACTTTGCATTACGAAAGCACTACATAAAATACAAACAACACAAATAACAACAACAAAACACAAGAAATCCAGTACTCTCTTTTGCCTTCGCGCTACCCGCTCTTTATAACTTGGTGCGAGATAGCTGCAGCAGCGCCAGTATCTATCAAGGGCCCTAGCGCACTACTTGCGTCCAAACGCGCAATCATTGGCCCCATAGGTGATGACCGGCCCAGGCCATGTTTGGGATGCGTCAGTCTTCAAAATAGGAAGCGGTTTCATCTGAAATGGAGTTGGGCGTTGATTATTTGGGAGGTACCAGAAGGTTCCCGATTTGATTCTCCCCTACCCGAAAAGGAAACTCAATTCAAATGGCCTGCAAGGGTGAGGTGTAAAATCAGCAGAAAGGGAAATCGAGGGAAGCCTGGTAGAGAGAGGGAATCACTTCTGTTAGGGTGTGATTCCAAATCATGTATTTATTGCCCCTTACCCACATTAGGAACCTTTCTGGGTGGAAGTCCGGCATCAGTTTTTCTTTATGGGTTTTACTTAAATGCACTGTGCCCACGAAAACAGGTGCGTTTCGGGCTGCTGGGGGTGATATGTCTTGCCACCGACCGCCTACGTCGCGCGGTAGGGCAAGGACTCGAAGTACCTGAGCCATAGGCGTGCCTGTAAAGGGGAAGTAGCTGGGTTTCCCCGGTTGACTCAAGCGCCAGGTAAACCAGGAATCGCCATGGATATTTTGACCACAACCAAAAAAGACACCTACCTGAGTCATAGCTGAGTCATAGCCGAGTCACTTCACGAGTCGCGCCAGACAAAAAACTGGGATGCTGAAACAAAAAACAGACCTGAGCAAAATGGTCTTGACAAACTGGGTTCATGGAATGGACCTGAGCACAAGATTGCAAAAGACGCAGTTTTGTTCTGGTTGCATTAAAAAATAAGAGCCCCCCAGAACTGGTGATGTTTGTTGAGTTTCCCTTCAAACCAACTCAAAAGGAGTACCTAACAAAAAAGTGAGTCCTTTGGAATAATGGTTTGCTAGCCCATGCATGAGACAAGTGGAAAAAAAACACCCGGGTTTGAACACCCGGGTTTGGCCCACAAGGGGTTCAGCCCACTGGTAGCCACCGCTTGTTGGGGAAGGAGCTTGCCTGCGCCTGACTCAAAATAGCAAGCCATAAGAAACCAGCCATGTTCCTTCTCGTTCTAGTGTCCACCTCGAGTCTTTGCATTTGCCTTTCACCCAAAATTGTCGCTGCACACCCCGTAGATCCCAGCCGCCATAGGTAACCAGGCCTTGTCCTTGGTTTGTTTCGGAAATTCCCTCAGCCAACAAAAAATGGAACCCTTGGTGTCACCAGGAGTTTAACGGGACCTTCGGCTTCGGGGTTTGAGGCACTTAGGGGCCAACCACCATCCCTGGAACAAGTAGGTCCTCTTCACCATGGTCCATCAGTATATTATCGAGAGGCAAACCCATGGAAAGTTTGGGCTCTTAAATGGCTGACTCTCAGACAGGTTCCTCTGATGCGATAGTCTGAGTTTGGAAACCCAGCTAAAACCCACCGAACGGACGAATTGGACCAACTCACTTTTCAGAGAAATGCCTGCTGATGCATTTGTTAAGGGTATGTGTCAGAATCGGGAGGACCCAAGAGCTGTTTTCTTGTTGGTTTCACTTGAAAGCAAACCCCTAAAAGGCTACCAACTCCAACAAGCATAAGCCTCCCCCCAAAAACAAACAGACAAACAAACACACAACACAAAGAGATAGAGAGAGAGAGAGAGAGAGAGAGCGACCACACACTGCTGATACACAGACACACACACACACACAAACCAAAAAGGAAAGAAAGAAGAAAACACCTCCCCCGGACAAAACTACACAACCAACAAAACAAACACAAAACAAACACAAGCAACCAACCAAACAGATCGCCCTTCCCCTGCCCTTGCATTTGTTTCGACCGCGTCACCCAGACGTGCGGCAGAAGGGCCGCGTAGACCGCGAAGTCCGGACGGCTGGGCTGGCACACCTTCCTTGGAAGGTATGGTGGGTCGGGGGCTGGGGGGTGGGGGGCTGGGTTTGATTGATGGTGCTTGGGTTTTTTGTTGGGCGCCTGGGTTTGGAGTTGGGGGGGTTGGGGGGGGGGCCGTCCTTGAAGTTGGAAAGGGCCTGATGTTTGGTGGGTTGCACCTTCCGAGCGTCTCATCCAGCCCGAATGCCTTCAGAGCGCGCTCCTTGCACAGGTTCTCCACCTTGTCGCTGACCTCGTTGCCTCTGTAGTAGCCTCGCTTGGGCCCCGCGGTGAGGAGGGCGTGAGAACGCGTCAACTGAACTGTATAAAATTAAGGGGGGGAGTCAAATTGGAATTCTGCTTGTAAATTGAAGGCAAGCGAACCAGAAGCCAAACTGAGCCGTTGCTTTTTGACTCCTAGCCTTGTATTGAAAGGGGAGCCCCAGAGTTCCTGGCCCCCATCAAAAGAATGGGCCACGCAGACCCAATTCATATGACAATGATAGTTGTACTAACCCAGCCACTCTTGTACTGGTGCTTTGAACCCCTGGTTTTTGAAAGGAAACCTAAAGTAAAACCGAACTCCGTTTTGGGGGCACATCCTACTCGATTCTGACCCTTTAAGTGGGTTTCGCCGAAAAGACGTGCGCCTTGCCTTTCGCGCTTGCGGCCGCGTTCGGCCGATTTCAGCCAGGCGGCTCGGTCATCCGCACCAAGCCGCCGTAGGTGTTGCACGTGATGCCCACAATCGGCACCTTTAGAAATCGAACCCCGGCTTGAAAACCCCAAAACCGAGGTTGTCTGTGGCGACCAACTTCGTTGTTTTATCAAACGTCAACCATAGTTCGGGGGGTTGGGACTGCACGGTTCTCACTCGCCTGTTGGAGTCAGAGAAACACACACACACACACACCCAAACTTTCAACTCAACGAATGGGAAATCCGTTTTCTTCTGGGGAGGCCTTGGTGGGCACAATTTACAAGGGGGTTTAGGTCTACCGACAAATTTTTAGGGTGCTCCCCATGCAATTCATAAATGGAAGGTGTTCGCCGGTTTCAGGTCTAAAGCCAAAAGGTAAGACAAACAGCAAGACAAAGGTCCAATGACCCTGCAGGCATGAAGATAAATTCAGGGTGTTTCCCTAGGTGAATAATTGGGACGCCCATACGAACTCAGGGACTCAGGGGCTGATCAATGCTGGGTTCCCACCAAAAAACCAACAACCTGTGACAAAACTATGTTTTCTTACAGAAGCAGGAAACACGCACTCCACGAATCATAAGCAAATCAGGGAAGGCATTGGCAAACCATCTGAGGCAGGCCCAGCACTTTTTTGGTCTGGTAACCCAAGAATGGGTCGGTCACTGGTTGCCTACTTCCCTGGAAACGGGGGGAAGCACTGAAAACTGGATGAGCCGGTGCAAATTCATCCCTGCAAATTAACATGGAACCCGAAACAGCATAATTTTGAGAGGAAGATCCTTTTGCTAGACGTACACCCCTCAAAAGACATTGAATGGTATTTTCACTTCGGTTTCCCCCAACATTCACCCAACCCCGAATGTTGGCACTGAGCCTCAAAAAAGGAACAACCTGGGCGATACTTTAGGCCCAATCCAAAGATAACCTAAATCTCAGCTTTGCAAAGAACCCACTAAAAGGTGAACACCTTTTAGGGCAATGACTAAAACCGGAACGGAAGCGGGAAAAAGGGTCAAAAGGTCGAGTTTGGGCAAAAGAAAGGCAAACATGTTTAGAAGAACCCCCTTCTGTGTTTGTTCCCTTGGCCCTTGGCATTGCTTTGCCTTCTCAGGGGTCCTTTGGGTCGTCTGCCCGTCGGCCGTCGCGGAGAGCGGAGCGCCTTGTCGTACTTGAGGCAGGCCTTCTGGAAGTCCAGGAAGATCTCGGGGTCCAGAAACATCTGGGTGACGAACTCCGCCCCGGCGTCCACCTTCTGCTTGAGGTACACCTTCTCCTCAACCGAAAAAACGAGAAAACACAACACGGCGCAGAGGTGTTCTTGAGGCCAAGGACGTCCCTGGCTGCACCCAACAAAAAAGGAGGTCCAGAGTAATGGCTATTTTATTGTTTGAGGTCTGCAGCAATGGTACACCATCTACTCACCCATGAAGTTCCGCACGGGGGTCGCACAGGGAGGGAACTGCTTCGCTTAGAGACTATCCTGGAAAAGTGATCCAGCAAACAAAGCCAACTCATGTTGAGCGGATCTGCAAAGCTTGAATTCACAGAAATCTGTCCGACCAGAAGCCCTTACGAAGAATGAGCCCTTACGAATTTCCGTGTTGAATGCACCTGATGTGTCATGCCTTCAGGGGTCGAGCCGCATGTAAGCAACCAAAGCATATTAGCCCGCTCACCTAGGCCAGTCTGATCCAAATCTTTGGACGGATTCGGCCGCGCCTGGGACACACTCATCGAGGGCCTGGTCACGAGCGTGAAGAAAAAGTCGCTGTAGAGCAAGTGGCCAGACTGAACCTGAAGTCCGAAAGCAGAAATCATCAAGGCCTATCCATTGAAATTACCTATTAAGAACCATGTAAAGAATTAAAACAAGGCGGCTGCGCCAATTTATGGTTACTAACCTTCATCCCGGGTGAGTCAGTCGCTAAGACGGCTAAGAGCATTGAGACCCAAGACCTGTCCATCCGGTCCCAAATTTTGAGGGAGGCCAAAAGGTTCAAAGGAACATGGTGCTTTTGAAGAGGCTTTGCTAACTTCAACAGGAAAAGGGCTCGTGTCCTTTTGAATTTGCGATTACGCGGCCAACGACAAGGTGAGGCTCACATAAAACACATGGGTCTGTCTTTTTGTTGATGGTACCCCCTTGGTTCTTGAAGGGAACCAGCCAAAGGGAAGCCTCATTTTTTCTTTGCAGGGGGCTCCATTCTGAAACTCGGACGCGTCTCTGTGCGGGTTCAAGGCGCGCAGTAACGCCCATATAGGATTCAACACATAGATATATCTATGTATGTATATATATGTATAATATGCATCATATTGCGGGACCGCACACAAAAAATGCGATTCCTCCGTGTGGTGTCCCTTCAAACAAACCATCAACATTTAGAAGGCCCCCATCAAAAAAAGAAGAAGCAAACACCCATTGGCCCATAATATGAATGCCATCCGTGCACACGACTCTCACGTGATTGCCCAAGGTGCGATGGTGAAGATGAGGTAGAGCTCATCTCCAACCAAAAAGGGCAATTCTTTTGGTGCACGCTACCTGACACAGAGCTAAGAATCCCTTTTAAGCCCGCCATGGGCTCCAAGAATTGAAAACATGTGCTCATTATGTTGTGAAGGTCTCTCTGCATTTGGGAATTGGATGCGCATGCTAAGAGGTCTGCATTGCAGTCAGGGGGAGAAGTGCGCAAGTACTCTTCATGAGGGACGTGCAACAAGAGAAGCGAAAGGATGTCACAGCAAGGAATTGAAAGGTGCGGAACGCGCAAGCGCTCCGAGCTGTGCCATTCGCCCATTTTCAACTCGCCACTCGCAGAAAGTTGAAACTAGCGTTGGCTCTTGCGATGCTCAGCATTTTGAGCTGCCATGGCATGATCTACGCAAATAAGGAAGCTATGCAAGCCACATGGCAAGGTAAATCGCAGGCCTGCGTCCCAACTCTGCGAATTGGCACCCTTGCAAGAAAGCAGTCTGGCGTGCTGGGCAGATTGCCCAAAGGCTTGTTGTAAGCCCATGAGGACGCTTGCCAAAAAAAAGCCTATGACCCGTTTGTACACAGGCCAATCGCTCTCAACAAGCATCTGAACACACCCCACTGTAGCGGTGATGCCCTCTTCTAGCAAACGGTGCGGCAAATGCGAAACCATCTGGCAAAATAGCTTAAGCTCACCTACTTTAGGAGAACCCCTCCCCTGTCACCGTCAAGCCACCGGCAAATGCGAGTCATGATCACAATTCCAACCCTCCTAATAGTTGTCTGAAAACCCCACCTCATCAAGGCAACACCAAGGGTGGTTCTTGCATGAATTTGAAGGATCCTAAAAATAGCGTCCAGCAGCTAAAGTCCGAAGAGCGTCTCCTTTGTCAGTATGTGTGACGAGTTGAAGTTGCCAAGGTTGGGGAAGACCTCAAGGCACGCATTGACTCGCGGCCCTCGAAATCCGTCTGCACTCCCCACTTCCCCCGCCTGGTTGGCCTGCGCTGGCTGCATGCCCATCCACTCTGCCACGGGCATCATCATGCCTTCCAGGGGGTACCTGCGCCCCAAGACCATGGCGCGTGCAAAACGACACGCGCACAAGTGCTCAACTGGCCTGGGAATAAGGCGGCCACGGCCAGCATCCATCTCAGAGCCCTCTGCCATGCGCGGATAGTCGTTGTAAATACCTCCCTTGACTGCCCCGGAAAGGATCATATTAATGCCCGACCACCCGTGGTCAGTGCCGGCATTGCTGTTGGGCGTCAACGTTCGGGCGAAGTCCGTGTGCGTCACTATGACCACATCATCAAACATGCCTTGCGCCTCCAACTCGGTAACAAACTGCTCAAGAGCGCTATTCACCTGTCCAAACCTAGATTGGGTCATCAAGAACCAAATCTCAAGCTGCACAACACACAAAAGCACAACAGTTTAGATTTGTTTCGCCAGAGAGCTTCTTGTAGAGACTTTCCTGCACACCGCTGTGTGCATCCCAACCGCCATCCTCCACAAAAAAGAAATCCCGCTCGGCTTGGCGGTCCACACGTGCGGAGATCAAGGTGGCCGCTTGTTTCAGCTGCGAATGCAGGGGCTGGTAGCCGTTGATCTCGTAGCTCGTCTCCAACTTGGCGTTGGCCAGCTGCTTCTCCAGGCCCAAGTTGAAGCTGATGGACTGCCGCAGGGTCTTCGCGTACTGGTCACCTTGCTACAGTCACTACTGCTTGGGGCGCTCTGGTCAAACCAGGGAGAAAGAGAACTGAGAAACTGAGATGCCCGCTGTAGACGTTTCCGTGAAGTGTCCCGGTCATGTTGTCAATGATGTCTTGAAAGCGCTCATACTCTGGGAATGCGGAGGTGCCCGAGCTTTGACCAAGGACGTCGCCTGAGACGTCAAAGCCTTGAGGCCAGGTGGCTTGACCCTTCAAGGAGAAAGACTGAGTGTTGTAGTCTCCTGGCAGAATGGGCAGCATGGACACTTCAACGCAACGCAACCTGATATGCTAATTTTCATCGGTACCCAAAAAAAGCGGAACCCTGGTAAATGGGAACATGGAGTAAGACCTGCGGTTTTTCTGGTGGCTTCATTTTGGACATATTTTTTGACCCATGCCCATTTGCAACCCCATCCTGCAGCCACCGCGTCGGCCATCCGACCACCAGCGCCTTTGAACTCTGCCGTGGCGTACTGGCACGTCAGGGTCTCGGCGGCCCGCTGCTGATCTGCGTGGCTGAAGAGGCCTTGGCACCTCTTGCCAGATCCACCCTGCGCGTGAAAGCCCGTGCCAATCATGTCCGGAGTCAAGGGCTCCACCAACGAACCCACGTCGTTGATGAAAGCCACCTGCCAAAGTTGCAAAACACACAGACTTGCAGAGTGAGCATCTAAGACACGCAAGCTGCAATCATTGCCAATGCCTTTTGCTGGTCATAGAGCTGCTTCAGGAAAGGCAGGCGCGGATGGATCCCAAAGTCACCACAGGCCTGGCCGGTGGCCTGGATTCGGTGAACCTCATCCGGCAGCAGCGTGATGCTGCGGCGGACCGTGGCGTACTCGTCATAGAGCGGGCAGTCCAGGGGCACCAGCCTCAATGCGAAAATGCAACAAATGCTCGAGGCCAACACTAAAAAACCACGCAAAAAAAAAAAAAACGCAAGCAACAAGCGCAAGCAACAAGCGCAAGCAACAAGCTCCTCTTAGCCAAGCCACATCTGAAAACTATCCATTCCGCCCTTCAAAAAGAGCATGACCACTGCCTTGTAGCTGGACGCGGCTCCTGTGCTTGTAGGTGGCGCCGGTGGCCTTACACCGCCTCGCATAGGATGGCCCAAGGTGTTGAACTCAGGCGTCAGCACCATGAGCTTCTGTGCGTCCTGACGAGTGAGCCAATGCTCTCACCAGCTCCCGTTTTTGCAAGCTCTTCTTTTTGCAAGCCGCTGTTCAACCAGCCCTCGGTTTGGGTGTCGTCCTCTTCTGAAATACCCGTTTTTTTTGTGGTATTGAATGAACAGGAAATCCTGGGGGTCCCCAAAAAACCAAGCCACGGCCATTTCTTCGGCACGAGATGGGGCATCGCATCTCCGGCCTTCCAGCCATCCCGCTGGTAAGCGGCCTGCACGGCCCCCTTGTGCTCCAGACGCCCCCCGGTCAGCAACAGGTCCAACTCCACCAGCGCCTCGCTCATCGTGCTGCCCGCCTCGCCGCAAAAAAACACAAACAAAAAACACGGAATCCGGACTCGGGAGGAGGGTTCTTCTGGACCTTGGGTCATTTTCGAGGCGCTGAACTCGGTCAGGGCAAGTCATGTGACAAACCCGGACCAAACCTATATCCACCCCAGACCCTCGACTCTAGGACCCTAACCGCTGGGACCCTAACCGCTTTGGCGTTTCAAAGGCCTGCGTGAAATCGAAGCCGCCCGAGGAGCAGCCAGACACTTCGACCCCAAAGCCCTGATTGCAGTCCGACAGCCCAGCATCGATGAGGGAGCACATGCCATTGGCGAAGGCCAGCGCGTTGGGCGGCGTGTAGATCTGGAACTCCGGAGCAACGAGCCCGTCTGGGAAGCCATCCGGCCGAAACTCCGGAAGGTAGAAGTTGAAGACCGTGGGTGAGGCATAGGGAAATTGGCCAATGGTGTCAATGAGATTTCGCAGAAATACCGGCCTCGCGCTGTTATCCTTGTACTCCATCGATCGCATCAGGTGGATCACCTTCAAGAACGGCTCTCGCAATGCCCCATTGCTGGAGCTGGTCTGTGAGCGGGCTTCTGGGTGAAGCAGGACCGCCATCAGGGTCGCCTTCAAATCCCCATAGGTCCCATAGGTCACCCCAGCATACGCTCCGGACTTGAAGGCCTCGCTGACAGCAGTGACGTAGTCTGCGGTGGGGTTGGAGGTCACAAAACGCTGGATGATGCGGAAAGCGATAAACGTCGGGGTGTTTGGATGCTGTGTCAAGTGATCCAGCAACGCCTCCACCTCGAACAAAGCATCCCGAGCAGTTGGCTTCGCCCTCTCCATAAAGACCGGGGGGTTCTGAAAAGTGAAGCCGCCCGCATGGACCACGTGCATGCTGCCCTCCATGCCCAACTCTGCGGGGCAAGTGCACCCTGTTTCGTAGGGGGAGCAGGCAGCGGGGCATCCCCCCGCAGGGACGCTCGAGAGCCAGTTGCCTACGAACCTGTTCTGCTTTGTCTTGGAGTCCAGGGCTGAGCTTAGCGTTCCGTCAGGGTAAATGACCACCTTGGCACAAGCAGCACATATCAAACGCGTCTTGGGACACGAACAGCACCAAGAATAAACCCCAGCCAGGGCACATCCACGTCTGCTGGGAAGAACAAAGACACGCAAGCAGGATACAAGAACTCATAAAAGCCGTCGCCCACGAGCAGTGTGCGCGTGAAGCCAGCGGAGCATTCGTTGCCAAAGCACGGCCTTGGACCAAGCCGGGCCAACCATGGCAGGGGACACCGATTTCGAAACAAAACGCCCGGATCTTAGTTACGACGCCACACCATGGGCCCAGTTGACACTTGGCTGTGGGTCAAACATATGTACCCAAGATGGATCCTTGGAAAATGGAAACATGCACTAAAACCTGCGGTTGTCTGGTGGTTGAATTTTGACATATTTTGACCCATACCCGCTTGCAACGAGTTGCAGCGTCTCGTCAAGCTCCACGACCAGCTGATGGCTGCACACCTGACGAGCTTTCAGCGGTGGAGGCCAAGGTGTCTTAATTTGGTCCAGGTGACTGGTGGCCATCACAAATTGGGTGCTTCATTTTTGGAAGGCTTGGCCTCAGAAAAATGGTGGGTTTCCTGTTGGCCTCTCTTTGCTTCCACTTCAAAGCAGCCCGTGAAACCACGCCCCAAATTGCCGCCTCCCCGCCACAAAGCCGCTGGTACAGCGGTGACTCAGCCTGAGATGTCAGAACAAAAGCCCACCGATTCAGCACGTGTGGCTTAATTTGGTCCGGGTGACTGACAGGACCAGGAAATCGGTGTCAGACTGCGAATGGCCAATGAAGCGGAACTTGGCACCTTGACTCAAGAAGTTCCTCACATCCGCACAAAGCGGATAACCATCGCCCAAGTATCCGCCATCCAGCTTTGGTTTGGGATAAACATCGTGCCATTCAGCCCTCATGCGCATGGGGTCAATCACATTGCTTTTGCCCTCGGTGTGCTCAATGTTTGAACGCTCAGCTTGCTCGTCAAAGCCCGTGAAAACGCGGGCAAAGTTCATAATGTCTGTGTTCGAATACGTTGGCACAGTGTTGCCCTCGGTTTCCATTCTGGAGCCGTCCGGGTTCAACTTCCAAAGCCCGATCGAAAACAACTGCATGATTTCCCGAGCGTAGTTCTCATCTGGGTAGACGCCATCACTATCAAATGCCCGGTTCCGCTTGTAGGTCAAATAGTCGCCCATGACGGGGCTGTATGTAACCTCTCGCAAGATGTCTCGATAGTTGCCAAAGGCGTGCCGCACAAAAATGTCATAGAAGTGGACAAACCTAAAGCGAAAACTGTCACGCGGTCCCACAACTCACTAAATTTGCTGACCTTTTTTGAGGGTGCCGGAGGATGACAATGAGAGTCGAGATTGTTCCACGGCGTGGACTCCTCCCCCTCTCCCCCCCACCCCCAAGCAAGAGAGAAAGGAACGCCATTTTTTTGGGGCGGGGTGGATTTTTTTTACTCGCCGATGACCCATGTCTCCCTTTGCCCCTCTCCGTCCGTCCCAGGCGCATCTCCGTGTGGTTCTCCGTGGCGCCGTCCGGGGCCACCACGAAGATCTGCGCCAGGGCCCAGGCCATGCGCTGGCGCAGCTGGTCCGGGGCTTGGAGCGCCAGCTGGCTCCACACCGAGGCCTTGCCAAGCGCCACGTTCTCCGAGTCGTAGGCCACGTCGAAACTCAAATCCAAGGCCTCGTCCTACGCGCCGCGCATCCGTGGAGACATGAGGTCAAGATTTGGGCTGTTACATCTTAGACACGCAGCCCCGAACTAACCAAACCGTGGGTTCCCAATTGAAGTTCAGGCCCAGGGCTGAACATGTAGAATCGGTAGACACAGTGCTCGCTTGTGCTGTCGCCTCACAACACAATGCGGTCTCTGCCGTGTACCAAAAAAACAAAGCGTGAAGTCTCCTTCAGGTGGAAAGGGTAGAGGTGCTGCGCCTTGTTGGGCACTTCCCCCGGCGAGCCACAGATCTCGGCAAAGGTGCCGAAGCTGTCAAGGGCCCCAAAGGCTCTCCCCACGCGGACCGTTTGCAGGCTCTGCGGCAGGCTCCTCTTAAGTCGAAATGAGAACCCTCTGATGGGCATTGCCCAAAGGACCTGGAACCAAAAGGTTAACCTTTTGGGACCATGACTAAATATGGACCAAAAGTGGGAAACCAAAAGGTCAAAAGGTCGGCTTTGAACAACTGAGGTATGCTGTTGGTTTACACTTTCTGTCCAACCATTTTGCTAGAGAATTCCTTGAAAACAAGACAATGGGCCAGCTGGCTACTTGAGACAGCTAAAAGAAGAGAGCTCCTGATGTCCACGATGTCATTGAATACCCCCACAAAGTTCGGCCAAATGTAGGTTCTGGCCAGCGTCGAGTCGAATCGTCCCATGGGATGGGAGGCTGGATACTTCAGGATGTAGCCTTTAGAAGTCCATTGCTGGATTTTGTCAGCGCCCCCCGGATGTTGTGCTACCCAGTCAGTAAAGTCATAGACGTTGTACTCACTCGAGTGCACATGTTGAAAGTACTCATTACCCACCTGGCAAATGGAGACATCCCTGCCGATAAGAACAAAACAACAGGTTCCCGCGCAAAATCGTTCGCGCAGGCCCCCGCCTGCACCACAATCCCGGGTGTCATGGAAGTGCAGGTCGCTACCACGGTGCGGAGCCAACCCTGCGAAGCTTCTGCCTCAGCTCAGTCACTCCGCATGGCCTCAGCCCCCGGACCCTGCCTGGAGTGCGGCGGCGATGCTGGTGGCGTCGCCAGACTCCAGGTTTGAGGCTGCACAGCCCGCGCTACAATCCAGGAGTTTCCAGCGGGAAGCCTCCCCGCAAGGCGGAGAGGTGGGGATGAGATCCACCAAAGCAAAGACGTAGCGCTGCTCCGCCGCATAGAATCGCTCCAAAACCGTGGTGTTCAGCTGCAAGGACACGCTGCGCAGCTGCAACGGAGCACAGCCAGGGAGGAGCTGACAGCCTTCCTCGTTTTGGAAGCTCCGAGCCACCGAAGGGCAGGCGCCACCGCTCCAAGTCTGCGCCGAGGCCGGCTCTTCAACCGTGTTCTCCACCAAAACCTGCTTTCCAGAGCTTGTCTCAGGCTGCACGCGCTCCCGGTAGAAAACGCGGTGCAAGCTTGGCTGCACTGCCATTTGCTCCTGCATCCAGACATTGTAACCTCAGTGACTCTGCCTCTTGTCTTCTGAACAAGGCGTCCGATGCAATTTGCAAGAAAGAAATCACGTTGCCAAGCGCCTCTGTGTGCGTGCTGTGCTCTGTTTGTGCTGTGTGTGCGCGTGTGGGTGTGTGTGTGTGTGTGGGTGGGTGGTGGGTGGGTGGTGGGGGGGGGGGTGGGTGGCGCGCCGCGCGAGCGCGCGTATGCGTGCGTGGGTGCGTGGGTGCGGGGGGCGCGGGTGCGTGGGGGGCGTGGGTGCGTGGGTGCGTGGGTGCGTGGGCGTGGGTGGGTGGGTGGGTGGGGCGTGGGTGGCTGGGTGGGTGGGTGTGTGTGTGGGTGCGTGCGTGCGTGCGTGCGTGCGTGCGTGCGCGTGTGTGCGTGCGCGCGTGCGTGCGTGTGCTGCGCTGTGTGCGCTGTGTGCCTGTCTGTCTGTCTGTCTGTCTGTGTGTGTGTCTGTGTGTCTGTGTGTCTGTGTGTCCGTGTGTCTGTCTGTCTGTCTGTCTGTGTCTGTGTCTGTGTCTGTGTCTGTGTCTGTGTCTCTGTCTGTCTGTGTCTGTCTGTGTCTGTCTCTGTCTCTGTCTCTGTCTCTGTCTCTGTCTCTGTCTCTGTCTTGTCTGTCTGTCTGTCTGTCTGTGTCTGTCTGTCTGTCTGTCTCTGTCTCTCTCTGTCTGTCTGTCTGTCTGTCTGTCTGTCTCTGTCTGTCTGTCTGTGCGCGTGTGTGTGTCTGTGTGTGTGTGTGTCTCTGTGTGTGTGTGTCTCTGTGCGTGTGTGTGTGCGTCTCCGTGTGTGTGTGTGTCGGTGTGTGTGTGTGTGTGCGGAGCGATAGATTCACCCTGTCGCCATCTTTGTCTCACTGTTTGAAGGGGGACCATCCATTTGCTGTGTGCGATGGTCCAACGAAGCGGCCACAGCAAATGCGATATCGAGGCTGATCACCTCGACGTGCCTGCGCAACATAGTTCTATCAACAGAGCCGTTTTGTGTTGTGTGTTGCGCCGTTGCTTTACAAGGACTCATGGCTCGATTGGTGATGCGCTCATTGTTGATTTTATAGTCTGAAGCCAACTCGAAATGAGGCAGTCGAACCTGTCTCTCCTCTCCTCTTGCATGACGTACACGAATGTATCAAACCGCCCCTTGGGTATTTGCAGTGTTATCCCGAAAGGGAGATCCTCGAGTGCACCCATGGTGTGACCCAAGTTGCGGAGTTCAGGAACCTCAGTTGTTTCACGTGACCTCAGAGACATGAAACTCAGAGATATGAACCTCAGTCGGGTGATCTCAGTTCGATCAATGTGCTTATGTGGAAGTTTCACCTTCAAGCTCATCAAGGAGGGAATCTCCTTCGCTCCCTCACACTGCCTCACACAGATCATAGAACGTTTCACATTTTCGTTCCTCGTCTTCGTCGTCCGCGCGTCCGTCTTTTCTTCGCCCGCTTAGGGATGGCTTCCCCTTCCTCCCGCTCGCTTCTTCCTGGTGTTCCTGACCCGCGCGTTCGTCCTCCTTCTGTTGGCCCGCTTAGGGATGGCCTGCTTGTCTTCGCACTGTTCACCTTTCTCCTCGTCGTCTTCTTCCTGCCTGTCTACCTGTTCTTGCTCCTCGATCTCCTCACGCAGTTTGGCTTGACGTCTTCCTCTCCTTCCGTTGCCATTTCGCGTTCGTCCTCTTGGCCCCCTTGCGGGATTCGACGTCCTCCTCCTCGAGCCTTGGGCTTCATCCTCTGTCTTTGTCCGGGCGGGACGCGTCGCCCTAAAAACGCATACTAACCCCATTCCCCCCTTTTTCCCACCCTTTTTGTTCCCTTGTCTCCTTCTCTTCTCTTTTCTTTCCTGTCTCTTTTTTCCCCGGGCGGGCTGCGGCGCCCTAAATACGCTTGTCGGCCCCTTTGTCTTCCTTTCTTTCTTTCTTTCATTCTTCCCCCCCCCCATCCTTCTTCTTTTTCTCTTTTTCCCCCTCCCCGCTTCATCCTGCGCTTCCTCTTCGCCCGTTAAGGGGTGGCCTGTTCTTCCTCTCGCTCTTCAACTTCGCGGTGCTTCTCGTCTTGGAGGTTTAGGAGGGTTTTCGGGACTGTTTGGGGTTTTTGCCCTTGTCGGAGACCCTAAACTTGGTTTCCCCTCCTGGCTTTCGTTTTTCTTGATTGGGGTTTTGCCCGCGGAGACCCAACGTGGGGCTTTCTGTTTCTTTGCTTTCTTGCTCCGATTGTTTTCCGTTGGGGTCTTCGTCCGTCTTTCGGGCGCTTGTTGTTTAGGGTTGCTCCTCCCGTAAAAACTGAGCTACTCGCCCCTCTTTGAGGGGCGTGTGTGTGTGTGTGTGTGGGTGCGTGCGTGCGTGCGTGCGTGCGTGCGTGCGTGCGTGCGTGCGTGCGTGCGTGCGTGCGTGCGTGCGTGCGTGCGTGCGTGCGTGCGTGCGTGCGTGCGTGCGTGCGTGCGTGCGTGCGTGCGTGCGTGCGTGCGTGCGGGCGTGCGTGCGTGCGTGCGTGCGTGCGTGCGGGCGTGCGTGCGTGCGTGCGTGCGTGCGTGCGTGCGTGCGTGCGTGCGTGCGTGCGTGCGTGCGTGCGTGCGTGCGTGCGTGCGTGCGTGCGTGCGTGCGTGCGTGCGTGCGTGCGTGCGGTGTGTGTGTGTGTGTGTGTGTGTGTGTGTGTGTGTGTGTGTGTGTGTGTGTGTGTGTGTGTGTGTGTGTGTGTGTGTGTGTGTGTGAATGTGAATGTGTGTGTGTGTGAATGTGTGTGTGTGTGTGTGAATGTGTGTGTGTGTGTCTGTGTGTCTGTGTGTGTGTCTGTGTGTGTGTGCGAGCGACAGATTCACCCTGTCGCCATCTTGACCATCCATTTTGCTGTGCGATGGTCCAACAAAGCGGCCACAGCAAATGCGGATATCGAGGCTGATCACCTCGACGTACCTGCACAACATAGTTCTATCAACAGACCTGGAGCCCTCGACACCCATTCTTTAACGGTCGTTCTTGCAAGTTTGGGCGGAAACGCCCTTTTCTTTCAGAAACGCCCTTTTCTTCCGGCGCCGTCTGTCCTCGTGCTCCTATGTTCGCTGCGTGCGCAACACACACGCAACACACGAAATGACACAAAACCCACGAAGTCACGAAGCCCATGAAACTCACGAAGCGCATGAAGACACTGGAATTTCACGAAGAGCACGACATGCACGAAAAAGACAAAGAACCCACAAACCTAGAAAACCCAAGAAACGCACCAAAATGCACAAAGTGGACACGGGGGCGCCGGAGCCTCACGAAACGCACGAATCAAGCAAGTGCATAAAAGACCCACAAATGCCGAAACCAATGAAACGCACGACGTCGGATGCGCAGCACAAAATAATCCGAAGTGCACGAAACACACGAAAATGACCGACAACGCGTAAACACGTCCTTGCCACGAAGCCCACAAAAAACGCGCCAAACCCACAAAACCCATGAGGCGCACGAAATGCAAATGCATGCGCAAGAAGCACGCGAAAGGCATGGAATGATCGCGGAGCGTTAAACGCATGAACCGTGCGAATCACACAAGCACGCAAACCCCTATGAAGCCCCTTTGAATGCAAAATACGCATGAAAATGCAGGAGCCGCGCCAAATGAATGAAGTGCAATACATCAGGAACCCCACAAAACGTGCGAAAAAAGGCGTAGCACACACTGCGTGGAGTAAGGAAAGCTTGTGGGAATACATGCTGGTGATGCTGAGGATGTTGTTGGTGATGGCGCAGCAAGCACAAGATTCACCTTGAAAAAGTGCAAAATGCAGGAAGAAAAGTGCAAAAAAGGCGCAGAAAACGCACAAACGCACAAAACGCGTGAACAGCTCCCGCAATGGCCCTTTTGGAAACAAAATTTGAAGGCACGGAACACACGAACAAAGCACACACGAAACGCACGAGATGCTGAAAACCGCTCGAAATGCCCAGGAAACAAAACGCACGAAACGCACGAAACGGGCGAAACGTGCGAATCGCACGAAACGCTGGAAAAGCGCACGAAACGCACGAACAGCGGATGTAATGCCCTAGGAAACGAAACGCACGAAATGTGCGAACAAAAGCACGAAACGTCTCTCCTCTCCTCTCTTGCATGACGTACACAAATGTATCAAACCGTCCCTTGGGTATTGAAGTGTGTGTGTGTGTGTGTCTGTGTGTGTGTCTGTGTGTGTGCCTGTGCGTGTGTCTCTGTGTGTCTGTGTGTGTGTGTCTCTGTGTGTGTTCTTTTGTCTCTGCGTGCGTCTCTGTGTGCCTCCGTGTGTGTGTGTGTGTCTCTGTGTGTCTGTGTGTGTGTGTG